ACTAAGGTGGGGTGGGGACCACGACCAGGGCCAGAACCGCCACCGTGGACAGACGCCCACCCAGACCCTCCCCGAGACTGTATGCTGGTGCGCCCGGAGTGCGCACCTTTAGGGGGGGGTACTGTAACACTCTGGCTCCGGGACTTTTGGATTTGAGCCAGGGTGTATTTGTTTTGTTGGGTATTTGTTGTGGGGTTGGTTGTAAGGGTGTATTCGGTTGGTTGTGTTTTGGGTGTATTTCTATGTTGGTAGTTTCTGTTGTGTGTATTTCTAGGTTTGGGTCATTGACTCCCCAATCGGAGGTAACGAGTGTCAGCTGTCGGCTCGTTATCCTCTGATTGGGAGCCATATTTATTCTGTATGTTTTCCTTGTGGGCATTGTGGGTTATTGTTCCTTAGTCTTGTTATGGACTCACATTGTCGCTTGATTGTTGTTTGGTGCAAGATAAAGTCACAGTCTTTTCATCGCTGCGCTTGGTCACTTCATCTCGCATCGTGACGTAGAGATCAGAGCTCGATGGAGGATGAGAGATGAGAGAACCACACACCTCAGACTTGAGCGAAGAAATAAAGTGTTCAATTCCGTATGCTGAGTTGATGACTGGAGATCAGGATGTGGAGAAGGGATGCCAGGTTACTCGTTCTCCTTCACCTCGGGAGACTGGCAGCGGCTTGTCAGGTAGGTCTCATCACACCGTCGACATGTGCAGTATATGGATTCCAGGGGCTACGCTGGAGAGGACTGGTAGAGACTGGAGAGAGAACAGCACAACCCCCATAAATCTGGCGGGAAAAAAATGTATTCTTGTAAACCATGACGGGAACAGGAAAAATGTTTTTATCTTTCCCTGGCAGGGAACAAAAGCCAGGGGAGGTCACGTAAAAAATCCAAACCCAACCCGGGTGTTTTTCATTGGGAAGTAGTTTTGAACAAGACAAAGCCTGGCAAGGATCAACCCCCCGGTCTTGGGTTTTCGAAATTTTTCCTAGGATTTTTTTGGAAAAATTTTCTTTAACTTTTAAATTTTTTTTTTTCCCTTTTTAAAAACTTGAGGTTTTTTTTGAAATGGTTAAAATTCACAAATTTTATTTTTTTTCAAATTCCAGGGGTCTTTGGGTTTTTTACCCATTTAAACGGTCCTTCAGTTTTAAAGGGGGCCAAGTTTTTTGGGAAAATTTGGAGGGTTTTAACCCAACCCAAATATTTTTTGTTTTACGCCCAAAAAATTAAAGTTTTACACCCTACTCCTTGGGGTTGTAGGGGTGAAATAAGCCCTTCACCAGGATTATTTTTTAAAAATGGATACCAAAAAAACTTTATCAGAGGGGGGGACTTACCAAATTTTGGTTTTCATTTCCAAAATTTTTTTTTTTCCCCCCCAGGGAACACCCCAAATACCTTTTTTGGGGGGGGGAGGGGATAAAAAATTTTTTTTTAAAACCCGGGGATTCCCCTTTAAAAAATTTTGGGGGTTTAAATTCAAAATTTTTTTCTTAAAATTTTCACGTGGGGTTTTTTTCAGACCCCCAAAAAAGTTTTGCTTTGGGGGTTCCCCCAAAATTTTTTGTTAGGGGGCAAAATTTAAAATAATCATTTTTTGGGGGGGGAGTTGGGGAAAGAAGTTTTTCCTTTCCAGGTTTAAAAGGGGCTTAGGGTGGGTGGGCCCCATAATTTTGGGGGGGGGAAAAAATTCCCCCCCCGTTAAAAAAATTTCCAATGAATTTTTGGGTTAAACCTCCCCTTTTGGGGAAACGGGCACAAAAAGGGGGGGGCCCCCAATTTTCTTTTCTTAAGGGGAGTTGTAAACCCTATGGAATCAGGAATCCCCCAAAAAAAAAATGTCTTGGATTAGCTAGGTGGTGAAACCCAACTAAATTTTTGCCACAAAGATTTTTTTTCAATAACCCAAATCCCTTTTCCCCCCCTTCCCCCCTCCAACCCAAACCTCGCTTTTTTGTTCGGGGTTTGGGAAAATGTTCTTTCCCCCCCGTTTGGATTTTGGCTGGTTGGTAAAAAAAAGGGAAAGCCCCCCAACAACCAACCCCCCGGCCCCTCTCCCACACAAAAAAAAGGGGGGAAACAAAAAAACAAAAAAAAAAAAAGGTTTGTTTGGATTTTTTGGGTTTTTACAGGCGTCGAAGCATAACCAGGTGGTACTACATTTTGGGGAAAAAAAAAAAAACTCCCCCCTACCTATGAAAGAGCTAAACATCGTAGTCGACAAAGGCCTGAAAAAGAGCACCCCCCTGAATGACTTTTCTCCCTGACTCCCCCACTCAAGCTACTGCCTATACATACTGCCTCAATGCCTTATCATCTGAAGCTGTTGAATCCAATCGCCCAAGAATCTGCCAGATCCTTTTGTTTTTGTGATAGTTTTTTTTAAAGGTCTTAAATGAAAGCGCTTTATAAAATACATATATTATTATTATTATTATTATTATTATTATGTAATGAAGAGGATAGTACACCTGAAATACAAAAATGTAATTTATGTTGTAATTCATGTTTTTCTATCACTTGAAGTTAGCCTTTCTCAAATACTGCACTTTTGTGACTGTGAATCATTATATGATCTATGCGTTATGATTTCTACAAATCATTATATTTATTAGGATGTTCTCTCCTTTTTCTCAATATGTAAAGACAGTATTATTGTTTTAAGGTCTATTCATTGTCTGATTTCACACAATAACAAAATATAGTTTGAGCATATTTTGAATTGATGGGAATGTGGCCTATGTGATTTCTACAAAGCATGTCTGTGGAATGTAAAACTTTTTACTGTACAATACACATCTAAACTACAATACATACAAACAAATTGTTTTCAACTCTTGTAGAGTCCCACAGAATCACAGGTAATCTTTAAGAATATAGTTTTGTATTGCTATTAGTTGTTATTACGCAAATATAAACAGTTAATGCAACAATAGAATGCAATAGAACCTAGGAAATAGTTATGTAACTCTGAATATCTTGAAAATAACAAGTTGTACCACATAATGATCATGAACAGACGAAGATTCTAGTTCTGAACAAGTAAGCAAAACAAAACAGAAATGTGCAGGTCGTGATGAAATGAAACAGTAACATCTATGTACAGAAGGTACACATGAAGGATGCTGAGGATGCAGAGGGTTCTATATCTATAGATGCCCAGATTATGACCACATCCTGTTCAGCTCACAGTACTTCCTGGTTGGAAGAAGAAGGGGCTTCTGGCTGGCGTCCAAATGTGATCTTGTCATACAGAGTATGCGGCTAAATGTGACAGGCAACCAAGAAGAAACTGTTTCAGCATTATGAAATGTAGACAATTTCCAAGTAGACTACATAGTCTCCTATTCACGCAGAGACTGTTTTATTTTATTTATGTTCAAAGATATCAGGTATGACCATTCATGTCACGCTCTCACCGTGTTCAGTCTTGGGACAGCCAGATCACCTACAGTCTCATAGATGGACATTGCCTGACTGTTTGATCTTGTCTGGAATATATACAGAAAAAGGTACTTAATAATAATAATAATAATTAGTCATTTAGCAGACGCTCTTATCCAGAGCGACTTACAGGAGCAATTAGGGTTAAGTGCCTTGCTCAAGGGCACATCGGCAGATTTTTCACCTAGTCGGTTCGGGGATTAGAACCAGCGACCTTTCGGTTACTGGCACAACGCTCTTAACCACTAAGCTACCTGCCGCCCAACTTAAACCTATAAACAAAATGGATGAACATTGCACAAAAACACTGCCTATCAGCAATTACAGTACACAGTATAGTGGAATACAGTACACATACATGGGTCGTTCCATGAAAACAGTGCTTGGACATCAGAGTCTCCATAGTAACCACTTTATACATATAATCCAGAGGAACATCCCTTTGATATTTTATGTATAAGTTGTACATTTTAATTTTGAAAGCCTGTTATATTACATGATGTGCCCTTTAGACAACGTGGAGAATTGAATAAATCAGATTTTCGATCAGAGGCAGTAGGGATGACCAGGGATGTTCTGTTGATAAGTGTGTGAATTGGACCATTTTCCTGTCCTGCTAAGCATTCAACATGTAATGAATACTTTTGGGTGTCAGGGATGTGTATGGAGTAAAAAGTACATTATTTTCTTTAGGAATGTAGCGGAGTAAAAGTAAAAGTTGTCATAAATATAAATAGTAAAGAAAAGTACAGATACCCAAAATGACTACTTAAGTAGTACTTTAAAATATTTTTACTTAGGTACTTTACACCTCTGCTGTGTCCATATTGTCTGTGAGTTTCTAGTGGATAGACCATATGGTTCAAGATAAACTAGCCTAATTAATTTTAAAAAGCATCTAATCAACAATGGCCATATTTTCAATTAACTCTGTAACTCTTCCAGCTATTAACTTTTTTCACAAGTGCCACCAGTTTGACCCCACATTTTTAAAAAACAAATTTAAAGGATATTTATGCTAAAACCCTCATATAAAACATAGTTTTGATTTTTTTTTTTTCACAGCTTTGTGATTCAATTTAATTATTTTTAAATCATCTTATTTAGTTATTTCATATATTTTACGTGATAAGGCCACACAGAGGACCAGAGATAATTACAGACACCTGTGATCATCTGAAATACCAAAAGGGGCTCTAGTTGTCTAGTGATAAATTACATACAATTCTTGAAAGTTACCAAAATTCTGGTAGTTTACTGCATACTTACATCTTTCATTCTTGTGTTGTCAGTTAGATCTGCTGTTTATGACAAGAACATAATATCAACCAATCAGATAGATACTAAACAGGATATCCACAAACATACCCAATAATTAATACATTACACACTTCTGAGGTTTCACACTCGCTTTCCGATTTCCATAAATCCCTAAGCCCAACATTTTGAACAAAATATCTAATTATGCTTATGCCACATCATAAACATCCTAAGAATACATCCAGAGGCTAAAATGTCCCTTTAAGTATAGATGAGGCCCCTATGCTGTACAAACCTGTGTTACAGCGGCCCCTGCAGTAATACACTGCCACAGCTACAGTGAGGATCAGAACCACAGCGCCACCTACTGGTACCCCGATGTAGATCCTATTCCAGGCCAGCCATGTATCATACTCTATAACACAGATGTGATAAGACTGATGTTTCTTAAACCTGGTCATGGAGACCCAAAGGGGTCCACGTTTTCTTTTTTTGCCCTAGCACTAACACACCTGATTCCACTAATCAACTCATCATCATACCTTAGTGGAATCAAGCGTGTAGTGTTAGGGCAACAACTAAATTGTCCCCAGGACCAGGACTAAGAAACACTGGATTAGACCAGTGGTTCCCAACTCCAGTCCTCTAGTACCCCCAACAGCAAACATTTTATGTTGTAGTCCCAGACCAAAAAAACAACCCTGAATTAACTCAATGAGGGCCTGATGATTAATGACAAGTAGAATCATGTGTGCTTGTCCCGGGCTACAATAAAAATGTGTACTGTTGGGGGTACTGGAGGACTGGAGCTGGGAACCACTGGATTAGACTCTGCAATATGCTAAAGCCTACAGAGTTATATATTATATCTACTCAATGTAATCACATGTATTACATAATACTATATATTATATCTACTCAATGTCATCACATGTACTACATAATACTGTATAGTATATTTGACAACATAAGCACAGAAGCACACTGTATGAAAAGTGTATGGAGTGGATTATTATGATATCTGGTTACCTGGGGTTGTTGTGTCATTACTACACTATACTGTTGTAGATGCAGATTTCCAACTGACTGAGTCGGAGGCGTTGCAGGTTACACTGATGTCTCCGTCTGCTGGTGACAGAGAGAAGTGTATCTGCTGGACGTCCCTGTACGTCTCATTCCCTCTCTCCCAGGTGTAGTAGAGGTTGGAGCAGACTGACACGTTGCACAGCAGCCACACTGAACAGGACTGGTTGGCCAATAGCTTCATCTTCTTCTGGATCGCCACCTTGGATATAGGCTCTGAGAGAGAGAGAGAGAGAGCGAGAGCAAGAGAGATAAACAGAGAGAAAAACAGAGAAGAGAGAGAGAGAGAGGGAGAGAGAGCAAAAGAGAGAGAGGAAAGAGGAGAAAAAAAGGAGAAAAACAAGATAGAGAGAGAGAGGGGGGAGGAAGGGGAAAAGGAGAGAGAGAAGAGGGGAGGGGGGGGGAAAAGAGAGGGGGAGAGCGGGGGAGAGAGGGCAAGAGAGGGGGAAGAAAGGAGAGGGGGGGAGGGGGGAGAGAGAAAAGAGAGAGAAAAGAAAAGAAAGGGGAAAAGAAAAAGAGAAGGAGAAGAAGAAGAGGGAAGAAAGAAACCCCAAAAGGAAAAGGAGAAGAAAAAGGAAAAAGGAAAAAAAAGAAAACCCGGGACGGAAAAGAGGAGGAGGGGAAGGGGGAGAGAGAAAAGAAAGAGGAGGGGAGAAAGGGAGGGGCACTAGTTAAAAGGATTTTGGAAGGAAAGAAACGAAGAAGAACCCAAAGGGGAAAACCCAAGGAGGGAAAGGACGAGAGGAAAAAAAGAAAACCCCCCAAGAAAAAAAAACAAACATGAAGAAAAAAGGAAAAAAAGGGGGGAAAGGGGAAAAGAATAAGGAGAAAGAGAGATAGAAGAAAGGGGAAAGTGGCCTCAAAATAATACCCAATAAATACTCAATGAAAAAAGGTTTCCCCATCTGAATAGATTAAATTGTTTTTTTAAAAAGCACTTTCCGGTTTCATTTATTTTTGTATGAATTTTAAATTCCAAAATTTAAATATCTTTTCAATTTTAGTGTTTTTCCTATACTTTGTTTTTAAAGCCCCTCCTCCCCCCTTTCACAGAAACAATGAGAAACACAAAATAACACAAAAATGCCTTCTCCCTTAATCCAAATTCAACAGGGGAAATGAAAAATTTATATGAAAAATCAATTTAAAAATGTAGAAAATTTTACATTAACAATAAAAAGAAAAAATAAGAATGTAAGGTAATAAAAAGATAAAATTATTTTAAAAAATAGAATTTTTAGGGGATTAATGTATAAGTAAAAATAATTAAATTTTAATATTTTTTTTTATTTATTTTATTAAGATTTTTAAAAAAAATTAAAAAAAAAAAAAAAGAAAAAAGACCCAATTTAAAAAAAAATTTAAAATTAAAATGCCGGAAAGAACAAAAAAGAATCATCCATGGGGAAAAAAGAGGAAAAATTTTTTAAAAGTTTTTTAAATTTTTGGAAAAAAAATGATAAAAAAAGGGGGGAAATTTTTAATGTAGGGAAACATAAAATGAAGTTATTGTCCCAAAACAAATTTTTTATAAAAACCTTTTTTTAATACAAAATAAAATTTAAAATTAAATATTTTAAATTTTTAAATTTAAATTTTTTCCAAAATTTAAGTTTTTTTTTAAAACTAACACAATACCCCATTGGGGGCAAACAAAATGTTTTTAAAAAAATTTCCTTTTAAAAGAAAAAAGAAATTTCAAAACAAAAGATTCTGCGTTCCCCCAAAAATTTTTTGGGGACAACGAATGCAAATAAAAAAAATACCCGTGATTATACAAATCACTATATGCAAACACTTGGATCCATGAAAAGCTCTAGATAAAACCATGTATTATTATTATTACTATTAGTACTACTATACTAGTATGAGTATAGAGAGATAGAGAGATAGATATATAGATATATAATAGAGATAGATAGATTAGGATGTATTGATTATGTATGGGTTATTTATGGCACTATAAAACATAAATATATTGGAGACTATTATACTATTATTTTATTGTACGATTCTTTTATTATACTAATATACTATAATTATAATTATAATTATAATTAGAATATATTATTATTATTATTATTATTATTATTATTATTATTACATAATGTTTTTACTGTGTAATTATGCACCAGAAATGCATCATACACTCCATGGGCAACAATCAATTATGTATTATTAACCTTTAAAAAATGTCTTCTTTCATTAATTATGAAAAAAAGAATGCAGTTACAATGACGCAAACTTTAATATGTAGGACATAATAGCAGTTGTTCTTGTCCTGCAGACAAGTTATTTGGTCACACTTTATTTGGATAGTACCATATATAGTGCATTCGGAATGTATTCAGACCGCATGACTTTCTTCACATTTTGTTACGTTACAGCCTTATTCCAAAATTGGTTCAATTGTTATTTTTCCCTCATCAATCTACACACAATACCCCATAATGACAAAGCAAAAACTGGTTTTTAGAAATGTGTACAAATTAATTAAAATTTAAAAACTGAAATATTACATTTACATAAGTATTCAGACCCTTTACTCAGTACTTTGTTGAAGCACCTTTGGCAGCGATTACAGCCTCAAATCTTAGGTATGATGCTACAAGCTGTCACGATCGTCTATGAAGTAGGACCAAAGCGCAGCGTTGGTAGCGAACATATTGACTTTAATGCAATACACGAGAATACAAAACAAAACACGATCATGAAGTCCTCAGTGACAACGACTGAACATAGAACAAAAACCCACAACCCCAAGGTGAACAATGACAGTTTAAATATGGCTCCCAATCAGAGATAACGAGCCGACAGCTGACACTCGTTACCACTGATTGGGAGTCACTGGACCAAACAATTGAACCACCAATAACAACCCAACTAATCCCCAAACACAACAAAAATGAACACACCCTGGCTCAATAATACAAAGTCCCGGAGCCAGAGCGTGACACAAGCTTGGCACACCTGTATTTGGGGAGTCTCTCCATTCTTCTCTGCAGATCCTCAGGTTGGATGGAGAGCGTCGCTGCACAGCTATATTCAGGTCTCTCCAGAGATGTTCGATCGGGTTCAAGTCTGGGCTCTGGATGGGCCACTCAAGGACATTCAGAGACTTGTCCCAAAGCCACTCCTGCGTTGTCTTGGCTGTGTGCTTAGGGTTGTTGTCCTGTTGGAAGGTGAACCGTCGCCCCAGTCTGAGGTCCTGAGCGCTCTGGAGCAGGTTTTCATCAATGACCTCTTTGTACTTTGCGGCGTTCATCTTTCCTTCGATCCTGACTAATCTCCCAGTCCTTGCCGCTGAAAAAAAAACAACATAGCATGATGCTGACACCACCATGCTTCACTGTAGGGATGGTGCCAGGTTTCTTCCAGATGTGACGCTTGGCATTCAGGCCAAAAAGTTCAATCTTGGTTTCATCAGACCAGAGAATCTTGTTTCTCATGGTCTGAGAGTCCTTTAGGTTCCTTTTGGCAAACTCCAAGCGTGCTGTCTTGTGCCTTTTACTGAGGAGTGGCTTCCATATGGCCACTCTACCATAAAGGCCTTATTGGTAGAGTGCTGCAGAGATGGTTGTCCTTCTGGAAGTTTCGCCCATCTCCACAGAATAACTCTGGAGCTCTGTCAGAGTGACCATCGAGTTCTCAGTCACTTCACTGACCAAGGCCCTTCTCCCCTGATTGCTCAGTTTGGCCGGGCGGCCAGCTCTAGGAAGAGTCTTGATGGTTCCAAACTTCTTCCATTTAAGAATGATCGAGGCCGCTGTGTTCTTGGGGACCTTCATTGCTGCAGACATTTTTTGGTAACATTCCACAGATCTGTGCCTCGACACAATCCTGTCTCGGAGCTCTACGGACAATTCCTTCGACCTCATGGCTTGGTTTTTGCTCTGACATGCACTGTCAACTGTGGGACCTTATATAGAGACAGGTGTGTGCCTTTCCAAATCATGTCAAATCAATTGAATTTACCGCAGGTGGACTCCAATCAAGTTGTAAACACATCTCATGGATTATCAATGAAAAAAAAGGATGCACCTGAAAATATATATATATATAATTTCGATTCTCATAGCATAGGTTCTGAATACTTAGGGTTGTTGTCCTGTTGGAAGTTGAACCGTCGCCCCAGTCTGAGGTCCTGTAAGGTATCTGTGTTTTTTTCATTTTTAATACATTTGCAAAAATTTCTAAAAACCTGTTTTCGCATTGTTATAATGGGGTATTGTATGTAGATTGATGAGAATTTGTATTTATTGATTCCATTTTAGAATAGGGGTGTAACGTAAGAGAATGTGGAAAAAGGGAGGTGGTCTGAATACTTTCCGAATGCACTGTAGATGATCTACAGATGGTCATACTATCAACAAACTATCTGTTGAAAAACAACTGCTTGCTAAGTTTAAGTTAAGGTTAGGTTTAGAATAAAGGTTAGGATAAGGGTTCAAAGTTAGAGTTAGGGCTAGGGTTAGGGTTAGTAGATAGTTAGTGGAAATGTTGTTGACAGTTATTGAACATCTACAAACCATCTACAAACTACCTACTTGGGACTATCCAAATAAAGTGATAGCGAGTTATTTTTGTAAGGGACGCCTTAAAAACATTGGATACAATCCAGTATCACCTTAAATTTAATGAATGACATGCATCTAGAACATGATCGTAAGATCTCCTGCTTTCCAGAGGCACTGCAAAAGCTATTGATCCAACCACACCATCACAGACGGAATGTGTTTCATAAAAAAATGCATTATCAAAACACCATATATGTTTGTCTGAATATAGTCAGAGGTGTTATCACACAGTAATAAAGTAAATGTTTTGATATATCCAACCAATCACTGACAAGGCACTTCCCATTCAACACACACCATGTACAAACCAACAAGGAAGTTAACCGTTGAACAGTTTTCCTAACTTTATTATGCAAGCAAGTACATGTAATAGATACAAAACATGAACAGGAGAAAGTGAAGAATCCATACAATACTAACCATAGTGGAGGATAGAGAGTAGGAGTATTCCCTGTTTGGAGAAGCAGGAGAGGGGACCACCAGACATCTCTGTTAGGTGTTGTGTGTCTGTTTCCTCTGGCTGTACGTCCTCCCTATCTCTCTGAGACTGAC